GGGGGGGCAGAATACGTCCACAGTAATCCCTAATTGTCGTCAGAGGCGACTAAAAGGGACAGGCAAGATCGCGGGCTATGGCGCCCGCGGTCAGGTGGGGAGGTAAATGGCTCCCCATCGGTGAGGGCGCTCCGCTATGACATAGCGGAGCTGGCGCTGGGGAGCACCGGTAGTGTTCTTTTGAGATCCCGGTGCTCCCCCCTAGAGCGCCGTGCCCAGCCACCGTGAGGTTTTAGTGGGTATTCCCCTTCATATCAAATCAAGGGGCGAGTCCCGCACTACCCCCTCCATTTGAGGGGGTGTGCGTAAACGCATTTCTCCACGTAAAAAAGAAAAAGGTGCCCTCCTATCCCCGGGAGGTGATTCGGGACTATTTTCGCGGCAGGGAAGTTGTATTTACCGACTAGTACCAAGTAATACACACGAGGGAGACGCATCGCGGGGTTCCACAGGGGTCGGTATTAGAACCGCTCCTGTGGAGCCTGGCGTATGGCGCGGTGCTGCGGGTTGCCCTCCCCTGGATACGGGTGTCATCTGCTATGCCAGTGCTTGGAATTACTTGCACATTTCGGCCCGATTCCTGAAGCACCATCTTCTGCGACCCCACTACCGCTCTAGGCTAGACGGCCGAGCCGGCGATCGTACGCGCAACGTTGTTTCTCAGGGACATACTACAATAGATATGTCGGGTTTCACCCGCGTGAGTAAAAATTCCCTTGCGCTGTCAGTATTTTTTATTTTTACAGATCAATAAAGTTATTAATATTTCGTTTAGGTTTATAAGCACCTTCTATATATACATATAACAATAATAATATATGATATAATGTTTGGAATTTTGTCAATAACTCTTCACATCACCCAAGAGGTATTATTGTTGATGCGTTTTTTTAAAAGTGGTTTCCCCTATAGGCCTATTCCACCAAATGTTAATAAAACCGATAATAAAATTAATTTTCATTCGATCTTCTGGGGCGTTTGCATGATTCTAGAAGGGATGGTATATCCACAGATAATTGAGACGAATTAGTTCGTATCAACGACGATAACGATGCATCTATAAAGATGAACGTTTTTCTGTTTTAATATTTTTCATTTTAGAAAATGAACATTCACATAAGTATGTGGACCCAAACGTAGAAAAACTTCTGAGACCAAAATTTCGGAGAAGTGGATAACACGATGCATCTAAAATTTTGAAGAACTCAACTCCCTTTTCTAACCGTGCTTTTAAAGAAAGCATCAATTATCTGTGGATATACCATTCTTTCTAGAATGGCACCACTAAGGCCAACGTAAGCAGCAAGAGAGGTACGATCGACGTCGACAGCGACGAGCGGCTTTATTAGTCGAGAATGAATTCTTGAGAAAATCGGCTGTTCAGTGAAACGATTACGATAAAGCGTTTAAAACTTGAATTTAAGTTTTTGTTTTTCATCTGTATAAAGATATGAATTTGGATAAACATTTTTTAATAAACTGACGACGAACTGGATCAATAGTGAATGTTAATTTATTTCACTGCTACACAACACGGAGATCAGGCATTGGCAGTACAACCGTTGTAAAGGAACAGTTTTCGACGTTTAAATCGGACAGAAAATTTTAATCAAGATTGTTGCTGCGTATCAGTTGCGGAACAAATAGTATAAGAGCTTCTGAAAATTAGAGTGGTGTAATTCAATTGTATTTTGCTTTAAAAAATGCGTATTTACATATGTTCTATTTAGAGAACAGATGTACACCACTCTTATTTTCAGGAACTCATGTACAGGATGGAAAAAAATTAATAGTCACCACTCTCAGCGGTTATTGTACACATCTGGATCAGTGGACATTTGCAAAAGATAGTCCGTAAAATTCATTATAACCTCAAAATTTAAGATCAAAGTTGTTTTTAATTTTAAAGAATTCTGCTCAAGGAGTAGGTAAAAAGCTTCAAAGAAGCCACATACCGGAGACGAATCGTTTTCGCGTAAGAAATTGTTAATTTCGGTGGCGGCGCCGAGGGTCCCCCACCCTACCTCATTCGTATACGCATACGCGATGGTGAAGTGTAACCGTACCACACAAACGTAATACGCAGCACGGAAGAAAATGGAACGTGTTACGTATTTTCTCAAACTGCTTTTATTAAATATTGAACGGTAAATTCTAAATTGCGTGTTTTGTCGTCTTATAAACGATATTGTTTATTTTCCGACGATCGATATTTTTCTTTTTCGTAGTCAATCATTGAAAGTGTAGAGTGTTATCGTGCTTTTGTTAATTACATCCATTTGATGCGCTTTTATTTGCCAAGGAAATACGTTACACGGTTTGTATCATATTTTACAAGTCTAGCAAAAACATAAAAAAAAAGTATTTCTTAAAAATCTAATATGTGAAATATGCATACACATTAAGAAATTAATTAGACAGCTTTGGCAGTATATTTATCGATAAGAAAGTTAATACATGAAAGTTATGAATTAATTTTTATACTATTACACTATGAGATAGTACATTGGTTTTTTCTTTCTCTATTTTCTGCTTGATTTTCATATATATATATTTTTTATTCTATTTAAATTGATTTGTATTTTATTGAACATTATGTAAAGAAAAGTTCTACAACTATGATTTTCCTTTGGAATTATTATATAACAAAATTCACAAAAAGATGTCTCGTGTTCCTTGAAAGTCTGAATCTTCTTTCTGTGGGTACACATTGTTGCATTTTTTAACGAACAATGTATCAAAGAAACACGAGAAATTAATAAATAGCTGGATTAAATTTTACTTTGGGACACCAAAAATGATAAACTTTTTTTGTACCATTTAGTAGTTTTTGATGCCTAGATTACGAAAATGTAAGTTAAAATGTTAGGAATCCAACAGTTAAAAAGATACGCGTGTGTAAAGTTAAACATTTTTGACGTATTTAGCTGGTTAATTCGACGCCATATTGGCTTTGACCGTGGGTTTGGTGGGTAATTAGGTCGGTAATGCCATTCTGTTGTCAACAGACGATCATAGATGGCGTGAACGTTTGTTATGAACGCTTGTAACGGTGTAGTGTGTACTGTTTCGAGGCATATACTTTCAGCTCAAAATCCTGTTACAAAATTTAAAAAGCATACGCTTTGAAACTATACGCGTGCTGGGGGGCCTCTCCCCCCCCCCCCCAGGCCCCCTGCCGGCCGGGGGCTGCGTCCCCTCGACCATCGGCGAAACTATAAATACCTCGCAGGCTAACTGTGTACACACCTGCGTGGTGCGCTGCAGTATTCATTGTTGGGGGCTTCGCCTCCAAACCCCTGACTGAGAGATAGTCCCCGGACTCCCATTTTTTCCTCATGCGTGATGGAAGCATCATGAATGAACATTAAAAAGACGGGAAATGTGAATAGGACGCAGAACGTATGTAGAGAAAAGAAGAGAGAAAATGGGTTTTAATATTGTCGCCGCACCCGTTAAAAGTGTTCATAACAAACGTTCATGCCATCTATGATCATCTGTTTACATCAGAATGGCATTACCGATTTAATTACCCACCAAACCCACGGTCGAAGCCAATATGGGGTCGGATTAACCAGCTAAATACGTCAAAAATGTTTAACTTTACACACGCGTATCTCTTTAACTAGATTCCTAACATTTTAACTTACATTTTCGTAATCTGGGCATCAAAAACTACTAAATGGTGAAAAAAAAGTTCATAATTTTTGGTGCCCCAAAGTAAGGAGTAACCAATACCTATACTAACTTTTAAAATATTAATTTGTCCTTACATAAATTATGCGTAGCCACTTTTTTACAATTGAAAATACTCGAACATTTACCATTCTCCGTTTAGAAGAAATTACATTCGAATAAACCAGGCTGTAAAAGGCGTATACGACGATTAACATTTACAGTAGCAATTAATTAAGTAGAATCTCGATACGCAGGTGCGAACTTTCATAATAAATATTTCAGACACCATAGAAATAAAGCCTTGAGCGAATATAAGTACTAAAAATTCAAAGAACAACAAAATAAACATAAGTACAACGGTATTCAAGGCAACAATTCAACTTCTTCCTTTCAATGTTAAATCATGTGTATACGAGAATTGTTTAGAGAAAGCGTAATACAAGACACCATTGGAAGAGTATCATGTTTTCAGCAGGTTTTTGAGGCGCCAATTTCACTGCCGTGACTGCTGGAAGCTTTCGAATGCCTTTCTGGATCCATAGCGATCGAGATGAACTCCTCAGAGATTTTCTTGTCCAGTCCTGTGTATGTTTGAGCTAGGTCGACTTGATGTCCTCCTATTGAAGACATTCTTTTAACCGACTCTATCTTTCCTTCGACTTGCCCCTTTCTTTCCATTGCACTTTCATGTTCCACAACTGAGTGACGTTTATGTTTCGATCGAATCTGCAACATAATATCATTTAAACTATTTTGGTGTTGAACAATGATATGCTATTGTAAACTACATTTCCGAAATGCGCCGATGACGATACAATGATTATCACTTAAAATCGTATACCTAATAATTTGATCGATTTTTTTACTATAAAGCATGAAAATTGTATTAATTAATTAAACTCATTTTTAGATATACAGTGTATAGTATTATGACACTCCATTTAATGTGTAATGAAATTATGTCAAGAAGTTTAGTTTAATATTCAGTGAAGTAAATCAAATTTGTTGTCACCTATATGGGATCAATCAAGACGAGTTGCTGTGATATTATGAACACAGATGCGTAATAAAAAGAAACAAAGTTTAATAAAAGATAAAAAGATATTGTGTTAAACTCTCTGTTTCTCCCTCTCGCTCTTTCGCGCGCGCGCGACGCCTTTACCTCGAGTCTCGACACTTGGGCTCAAGGTTTCTGCTTTCGCTTTTTGAAAAGCTATTCTAGGATACTACGCCTATTTATAGAAAGTTGTCAGTAAAAGTTGCACAGAAGAAATGAGATACAATTTTAGTATAATATATAACATAAATAATTAATATTGATATATTGTAGGAACCATTCCAATTATAAGGCTCTTCTAAGGCATTCTTGTAATAGTTGCATTGCTTTATTTTTTATTTCAATACTTTTCTACGTTTGGTGCTAATGTAGGAGTAGTAACTTTTTATCTTTTTTCAACATCCAGTTTTTTATCGCACCTTTGTTTTTAGTTTATTTAATGCCCAAATATTTCTTTTGGATTTAATGATATGAAAAGTGATAAGATCGAAATTAAAATGGTTCTTTTTTCACTGAAGGTATTTTTTTTTACAAATTATCAAGATCATTAACTTTTTATTTAACGGAAATGTATACTTTTAACCGGAACTTGGGTAGGTTCTGTGAAAGGGCGATCGTAGTATGCGAGTGAGAGCCATGTAAAAACATAATTTGCTTTAGACATAAGGAATAAGGTAAGTGATGTGTGTGATTACACGTAGTAGATAATATTAATAATCCTTATATGAGAATATTTGAGGTTGAGTGAGGGTTCATTGGAAAAAAGGAAGGTTCAATACACTAGAGCAGTTCGAGTACTCGGAAGAAACGAGCAGCTCGAAGGAACCGAATAGCTCGAAGGAACCGAGCGGCCAAACCAAGTAGCTCAGAGAGAAGCGAGTAACTCGGACCGAAGCGAGCGCTTCGGAGGAGGCGGATTCACGTTGCCGAAACGTGACGGTCCGTGTCGTATAGTCTGAAACGATCTTTACTCGGTTCTTTTGAGCTACTCGCTTCTCTCCGAGCTACTCGGTTCTTTCGAGCCGCTCGCTTCTGCCCGAGCTACTCGGTTTGGTCCGAGCTACTCAGTTCCTTCGAGCTGCTCGTTTCTTCTGAGTACTCGACTCGGATTGAAAACTAAGTCTCAGCTCGACTCGACTCGCGAGCAACTCGAAACATTGGAGTTTTCTGCAAGCCTACAATACACCCGGCTGTGGTCATGATTCAACGAGATTCTTGTTAATATCTAATAATATGAGTGTTCAAAGTAGAGCAAAAATAGGATAAAATACACTTGCAGAATGCATGTATTTTTAGGTCACTAAAAGAGTTTTGTAACTCAAACGATGACCAAAGCCGGATGTGTTGAACCTTCCTCCTTCGTATGAGCTCTCACCAAGCCTCAAATATTCTGATATAAGGACGAAAAACGAAATCATTCCTGAAAGCATTCCTAACGACGAGTTCCACCATTTTGTGGATAATGCAGTGCAAGTCACGTGACAAATTTAGTTAAGGCAATTGGTATGAGATGGCGCCTACTGCAGAGGACTGCTAACGTGAAATCAATAGCGAAACTAAAGCGCTGGCTTCAATACATATGCGATAGTAAAAGCGTGTAGGCATTTTGCAACGATTGTAGATGAAGTCATGGGCATTGTCGACATACATTGACTAGAATCTGCTGCGAACTGTATGCATTTACTAAAGTAGCATTCTTATTATAGTTTTTGCATAGTTTTGGTATTGTTGGCCGGAGGGGGCCACCGGTGAGGTCCCCGAGGTCCTCTTGGCTGCGTGGATTGTCGCCCCTGTTCCGGTCACCTCGGTCTAGTTGTAAGAACGGAAGAGACAGTCACCCGGCCATTGATTCTTTCCGTTTCTTGCTAGGTCTTCGCTTTCTTTTGGCCCGGGCCTATCCTTAACGAGAACGTCGGTACTTCACAGGGTGGTTCATCATTGGACGGGACCATACTACCTATGCTTTGGTAATGCCGTAGCTGAGTTGAGCGTTTGGTGAACCGCATCCCTCAGGACCCGCAGTGCCAGCCTGCATGTTTTCCCCTCTACACCGTGTCGGCGCGATTGAGAGCTCTATCCACCCCCGTCAGACTATTCCTGGGCCGATAGTCGGTCACCGTTCTCAGCCTACGTGTCCCATAATCCGGGATCTTATCCCTTCAAGTTTGCCACCCCTCTACCCCCTTCCCTGACTTTGTTCCCTAGTACTCCCCTCTTCCCTCTTACCCCTCCCGCCTCTGTTCTTGAGGTGTTAACTAGATCGCGAGCAGTTCAGAGGCCGTCCCACCTCCTTAGTTGGCTAGCCTACCCCACTCGGTTCCCTATATCGGCGATGGCCCGTTAGCATTGCTCGATGTTCGAGTTGCCGGCTTAGTTCCTCACATCTTGATGCCTCCGAGTCCTATTCTAGGGGCCGTGGGATGGTTCTGGTAGCGCACTGCTGTGCCTTGGAGGCCAAGGCAAGCCTGTGACTGTCCGTCTATCTCCCTCGGTCTTGTCTAATGCTGTAAAGGGCCTACCCTATTTGGGTTTTAGTGTCTGGGTTGTGTATCCCAGTAGCTCTTAATCCCTACCGCCCTGGCTGTCGCCTTTGTTTATTGCGCGGTAACCACCCGCCACAGGGTTCACTTGAGATCCCCCCTTTTCCGTGTCGAAAGGTTATTTCTTCTATCGGCAAGGGTCACCACCCCTTCCACAGGGTTATTATTGGGTTCATTTTCATAGAGCCGTTACCCCTTTACGTGATATAGTGTAGTTGTTTAGTACGTTCACCACTCGTCCTAGGTCTGAATACTTTCCTCTATGAGGGAGGCGCGCAGACCCTTCTCTAGTGATTTTTTTTCTTTTTACACCCATTGCTGGGGAGTGCCATTTTACACTTGGCTAGTGTGAGTGTTGGTGCGTGTAGGGAGTAGGGCGGGGGCCCCGTCTTCGCTCCCCGCCAGTGGACCCCTTCCTCGGCGAGTTGCCACTTCGGTTCACAGTCTCGAGGCGTCCTCCGTAGCTCCTCTTTGTACCGATGCGGTGTTCGAGTCCTCCTTTTTCTTACGCGTGCCATGTTTTACCATTTTAGGATGTGTATCTTTGTGTTGGTTAATGGGCATCGTCTATTTTCCATGGGTCGATCTCTTCTAGGAAGGATGCTATTTTGGCTCGTTTCATTGTCGGAATCGTGTCTAGTTCCAGGAATAATTGTTCTAGGTGTTTCCTTCTGGGCGTTGTGAGTCTTGGGCAATCGCATAGGTGTCCGTTAGTATGAATGTCACGTTCCTTGCCTCTTGTTTGTTTAGTTGTATCGTCTGTCGCGCTCTTTTTTTGTTTTTTGTTTCTGGGTCTAGCAGCTCCTTAGCTCTGTCTGCAGTCCCCAGTATCTGTCCATTTTACTTTCTTCGCTATTTCCCGCAACATTTTTATTGTAACATATACAAAGAATTCAAATGTTTCATTTACCCAGATACCACCGGACGTCCCATGAACGTCCAGTTTTCATGTCCAGTTTACGTCCGACGTCCTTTGTCGGACGTCCATGGGACGTAAATTTTGTACGTCCCAAGGACGTCCGCTCTGAATTTTCTAGATTTAGAAAAAAATACTTTTTTTTAACATAAGATACATATTTATTTAATATGTAGAACAGAATATTTGTTTCCGAATACAAAATACACTATTCACAATATTATTATATAGAGACGCGGTAGCGTCTCGACGCCAAGTACATGAAAAATTATACGCCACCGTGTATACTGACGCTAGCGCTACCACGTATCTTTTACTCGTAAAACTGCGATTCCAACCTAACCTGAAACTTCTGTCATTAATATCTCGTTACGCCTGCTGTATTTTCTAAATATAAAGGCATTTTTCTAATGTAAATCGCATATAAGCATTCTAATAAAACCAAAATCAATAAAATCGGTATATGTACAGCTGAGATATCGTAATATCATGCCATGAATCGGTCAGAAATTGTAGATTTTTCTTCTGATTCTGATTCTTATTCTTATTCTTTTCGTCAAGATTTAGCCAATAGGAGCTAAGACCATTCGTCGATTCGTCGATTCGTCGACTCTCGGAATCAGTCGGCAAGGCTCGTCGGTCGGAATTGTAATATGGCTGTCACTCATGCCGCTCGTTCATTTCTAACCTGTAACTGTCAGTTTGCATTTGTGACATTTGGTTTCTTGCAACGATTATCTGACATGCATTGTGCGTACTTTTGAAAACCTAAAGGACTGAAACTGGAATTATAATACAATAAATTGTGCGTTACCAATACTGGATCTCTTTGTACATTTTCCCACTTTATTTATTAACATTTAAATTTGTTACAACAAGATTTTCTGCCACGCCTTGTACATACTTGTGAATTTTATTCTAATACAATAAATTGTGCATTACACATAGTGGATTTCTTTCTATATTTCTCATTTCATGTTTAACATTTCAATTTCTAGCAACAAGACATTTTCCGATGCGTTGTGTGCACTGTGGAAACATAAAAGACTAAAACTGGTATTATACTATAATAAATTGTGGGTTAGAAATAGTGTAGACCTCTTTTCATTTCATACTTCATTTTTAACATGCAAGTTTGTTACAACAAGACTTTCTGTGTTGTGTTCCGTGTGCTTTTGAAAACTTAAGAGACTGAATCTGGTATTGTAATATA